ATACATATTAATATTTTTGGCTTCAAAAAGTATAGATTGTAAAACATTAAATGAAAACATAACAATTATCATCCTATATACGTATATATAAACCTACGTTATCATTGATTTGGTTTCACGTCACCAAGTTATACGGATTCGAGAATATATATATATATATATATACATATACATATATATATATATATAATATGTTTCTTACATGTAAAGAAACAAATATGTAAGCAAGAAACGCAGTTATCTTTTAAGCAATAACGTATACTCATATATCAATCGATTAGGGTTTTCTTTTGTTATTTTTTTGTCTTAATTTCAATAACAAATAAAAATAATAAATAGTCTAAATAAAATAAAAAATAAAAAATGGCATGGCGGGATGGTAACATCATTTATAGGGTCAAGCTGTCTTGGTTTGTGCATTAATGACTATGAACATGCAACCGCACGTACTGCACATTTTACTCACATTTTTTTTTGTTAGATTCTCTGCACATCTATTAATTAAATATCTTATTCTTTATTAATAAAAATATACCTTCCCCAAGTTTTATATTTCTTGGACGTTTTCCTTCATGCGAATATGTTTTTTTCTCATGTATATTTTACTTGTTAAAAATTTGTTGCAAACCGAAAAAAAGCATAACCGATATATATTATGATTCAGTTTTTATAAAAAAAAATTTAATTTTATTCAGTTATTTTTATAGTGAGTTAGTCTAATTTAAAATATCGTATATATTAGATATAATTGTGCATTATTTATTTGATCTTATTTTTGAAAAGCAACAATAATTTTCTTCAAAAAATTCATGATGACAAAACTTTTGAATTATTCGAAAGGTTATTCTTTTCTTCGATTTTCATATGAGCGCCCTCAAATATTTTATTTGTATTTTTATGTCCCAATGTCAACGCCTTTATGGTAAAATCGTCGCCACTAAATTAGCTTGTTTTTTAGCTCTATGACATTAATTGCTCCTTTTATTTTAATCCCTATTATTTTGAGAAATTACAATGGGAACCCCCATTTTTGTAATTTCCAACACTATGAGTATGAGCTTTCGTATATAATAAAAAACCCACAACAATTCGATAAGTAAATTTGTGATACAAATTACAAAATGCGAAGAATTTATATAATATTAAAATGTAATTATAATTTAATTTAGTTTGGATTTATATTAAAACGTCTCAGAAATTATAATATATGTTCATGTATTTATTTCTTAATGATTAAAATACAATAACTTGAATATTAGAGAACGCGTTAAGTAGAAAATATAATTATATCAATGTCTCTCAGAACTCCCGGGAAAGTGTCGGTTCTTCTATCTCCCTTTAATTTCCTCGCTTATTTTCCGGGAAAATTGTGAGGCTTTCCAAGTTTGGATCCATAGAAACATAACGACAAGCTTTGCAAGTCTGGAACTTTTCGAAATATGACTTTGACGTTTGGAGGAAGATTCTGATGGATGAAGGGTTTCTCCCCTCAGATTCTCTTGAGGAATTTATGCTGGCAGAAAAGCGCGAGAAAGTGCCGAGAAAGTGAGAGAAAATGATGGGTCTGATATGCCGTTCCGCTGCGGCTTCTCCCACTTGTTCTTCGTCTTCTCCGAGGTAATTTCAATTGTCCGAGATTGCCCATTTTCCCAGTTCCTGCCATTACCGTGACTGGTTTTAGTTTGGCAGTGAGAAATTTATCCGCAAAATCATGGGTTTCTTTTATTTGTGTTCTTCTCTGCAGTAACTCGGGGAAAGTAGTTTCACAGAATTTACCTGATGCATCACCTCCAAGATTCTCTTCTTACAGTACACCGGTACTTTTCTCTTCTGGGTTATGCTTTTTGAGTTCGGATTTTGTCTGAAAACCAACCTATCCTGCAGCGAATTTCCAGAATTCGGTTCTGTTCTTGTCCCTTTCATCTGGTTTACAATTGGCATGAACGATACAGCGCAATGTAGAGAAGATTTTTCAACGAGTCTTTCACTAAATCTCCACTGTATTCTCTTTGGCAGATTGTACCAATTGAGAAGAGATTACCATTGTCCCTCCAGGCTTCCGATTTCAGCGAAACGCCAAAGGTTCATAGCCTTAACGCATTCGAAATGTAACTCAGAGCTATTGTTCATCTAAGCCTTTGAATTCTCACTGTTCTGACTTCTCTGTGGCTTGTTTTCTGTCCTGTCCGACCCATCTCGATATCTATCTGGTCGTAGTCTCCAGAAGAACTGAGGAAGGAAATTGCTTCACTTGAGTCCGAGATTCTTCGTCTGGAGCGTTTTCTGCTGCCCCTTTACAGGACAGCTTTCGAAGAGCAAGTTCCTTCCTTCTCCGGTCTTTCGGGAACAAACTTACCCGGCACACTGACCGGTTCACCATCTCTGTCTTTGCCAAATCAATTCTCTCACAATTTTGACCAGAAACCCGAGCAGAAAACCGGTTTTTGCTGCCATTATCAAGCTTCTTCTCCTGTGTACAGCAAGAACTTTTCATACCCTCGGAGTTTTCATGCTAGTCTGAAGGCCGTGTCAGCGAGGGTACTTTGCTAGAATTCCCTTTGCTTCCTCATTCCCCTGAGGAGGATCTGCCAGTGGAGTTGTTGAAATTTGTGAGCATTTTTTGCAGGAGGGGAGAAAACGGGTTTCTGGTCATCGCAGTCTTGGAGATCTTCTCGGGTCTTCTCATATCGTAGATAACGTTATCAATCCAAACAAGCTTTCGGAAGATATCATCAGATGCATCTCTTCTGTATACTGTACCCTTTCCAGCTCAACAAGAACCGATTCTGGATCTGGTTTCTCTGTTTCTCCGCCTTCATCTTTGTCTTCCTGGAGCGTGTTTCCTTCCAAGGCTCCTAATGATAGCTGGAATCTGCACTGTCAAGAAGGGAATGTGTCATCCGGTATCGTAGTAGAGTCTCTGAAAATTCACCTGGATGATGGTAGTTTCAATTACACTGCTCTTATGCTGCAACACTTCAGGTATGCCTTACAAATGACACCAAATTCTCATGGTATATCGGGATTTCGTCATAACTTCTGGTGAAACTTGTGGTACAGATCACTGGTTAAAAATCTTGAGAAGGTCGATCCAAATGGAATGAAACGGGAAGAGAAGCTCGCCTTTTGGATAAACATCCACAATGCCCTCGTGATGCATGTACTGAAAAAATAAACAACGATCGTATTCTTCTCTGCTCATGCCCCGTTTGATCGTTTAAAGTTTTTTAAATGTTTTTCCCTGCAGGCATACTTAGCCTACGGGATTCACAACCGAGCAAGAAACGCTTTGATCTCGAAGGTTTGTCCCGGGAAACCTCTTGTCCAAATCTTACAATTCGACATGTCTTTGATGTTTCTGAGCAACACTTCTTCTTTAGGCAGCTTATGATGTTGGAGGCCATAGAGTAAACCCCTACATTATCCAGAGCTCCATCTTAGGCATCCGACCACATTACTCAGTACCAGTATATGCATCTTTCATCTTCTTTCATTCCTTTTTTGCTTTACGCTCTTTTCACGATGATCCAGAAATAACGTTTCTTGATCATTTCAGTTGCTTCAGACCCTGTTCTCCCCGTCAAGAACGTCAAAAACTCGTAGTATCAGACACATATACGCCTTGGAATATCCCGAACCATTGATCCATTTCACTCTTTCTTCAGGCATATCATCAGATCCACCGGTGGGATCACTCACCTTATCGACTCTAAGATGTCTTCTAAATCTCGGATTTGCGTTTACGGTATTGTTAATTGCCCGTTAATCTTCTTCACTTGCACTCTTCAGGTTCGGGTTTACACTGCAGAAAGCATATTCCGGGATCTAAGAAAAGCCAAAGAAGAGTTCATCAGAAACAACGTAGGTACCCGAAAAGGGACAAAGATTGTACTGCCCAAGATCCTATATTACTACATGAAAGACATGTCACTAGACGTGTCTGGTTTCTTGCAAGCAACAACTGGGTGTTTACCAGAAGCAGCAAAGAGAATTTCCCAGAAACGTTTGAAGGATAAGAAGAGCAAGCTCGTGGAATGGCTGCCGGAAAACTCAAACTTCCGGTATGTTATCGCCGGAGAAGTGACCGGAGAAAGGATCAAGAGATGATAAATCCGATGTGGGTTTCTTCTAATGTAATTAAATCACACATACATATTTATGCATATGATATTCATAAGTTTGAAAAAATGGGATTTCGAAATTGAATGAATGAAAAATTTTACATTGGTAAAAGTATTCCCCATCCATCACAATGCAATCAATAACAAAGTTTTGGGGAACCATAAGAACAAACTAACATATGAATGAACCATGTGTGTAATGAATTGAAAATACCCCCAAAAAGGAAAAAAAAATAACAAAGGATACAAAACATAACTTGAAAGAAGAGCTTCTCTTACTTAAGCTTTGGTCTCACCACCAAGACCAAACTCAACATCTTTCAAATCTATATGCTCTAATCCTTCCTTGAACATCATAATCTCATCTTCTGTCATGCTGTTCTTGTTCTTCCCGTGCGGCCGCGGCATCGCCTTTGCGTTCCTCTTTTTCTCCACCTCGACCGCCCAACTGTAAACCACCATCCCCACCACGGCAAGAACCATCCCTGTTATGTTCTTCGGTGTCATCTCCGAGTCGAACAGAAGCCATCCCAACGTCAGGACACATACTGTTTTCATGTGACCCAGAACCTGGAACGAGACAGCCGAGAATCTCCCGATGCAAAGGTATTGGCTTACGTTACAGAAGACGGCCAACGAGCAAGAAACAAGAATGCAAACCTGGGTTCGTGTCATGATCATTACCACTCGTTAGATACTATATAATTCACAAGAAGCAAGATTCGGTTTTATCACTCATAAAGCAAGGACTGAGGAGTAGAATTACTTACAATAGCACCATAAGTCATCTTATACGTAGTTATGAATTTTCCGCTCAGGGAATAGTCGATAAAAGGGCCGAGGATGAGGAGTGAAAGGGCTTGGATCGGAGCTGTCTTGCTCAGCAACTCGAAAGATCCGATTGAGTATTTCTTCTGGAGAGAACCTATCGACTGTACCATAAACAAGTGTGATCAGTAACAGTTTAACACCATGATTCCTCCAAACTTTGTCAAAGATAATATTTTAATCTTTTGCTTCTGGGTTTTCCACCACTGTGTGATCAACTTCCAGGTTACAAACAAAAACAATAAGCACACACTACATCTGATGCAGGTCTCTAATGGTTTCATATATCAGAAAGCACTAACAGATCTAAGCAGAACATGTTTCAACTTATTAGATTCCTAACGAATCTGTGATGATCCAAGATGAAAAGGGTAACGGGGATCCTGCAGGGTTCTACTCATTCTGCGAAAAGTTCGAGTCTTTTCAAATTCAACGAGAAGGAGATAAATAGATGATTCTTAATACTTACAATCTGCTGCAGAGATGTGGAGAACACAGCTACGCAAGCACAGATGAAGCCTTTGGCGTTAACCTTCACATCGGTGACAGTACAAATTCCCACGCCTATAACTACAACCATGACGGAGGCTTTCACTTCTTTGGAGTAATGCTTGTTATGGAGAATCCATTCCATCACGCAGACCACCGGGATCATGCTCAATTTCGAAATCTAGGCACA